AAATGTCAATGAAAAAGCAAATACAGAGTTAACTGCCTTTATTTATGCTTGGGAACTGTAAAGCAGTTACAATCCTATTTACTCATGGAAACAATCTTACAAAGTAACCCTCCTCTGTTCAGTCACATAAACAATCAAGTAAAGTTACCCTTCCCTGTTTATTCATATTAACAATCAAACGGAGTTACCTTCCCCTGTTTATTGACAGCAACAATTAAGCAGTTACCCTCTCCCCTGTTCATTCACATGAATAATTATCCAGCAGTTACCCTCCCCTATTTATTCACATGAACAATTAAGCAGTTTATTTGTATGAACAATCAAGTGGAGTCACCCATCCCTGTTTACCTATGTGAACAATCAAGCAGAGTTACCCTCCCCCGGTTTATTCACACATGCCTGATACAGCCACCATACCTGTGCTCGAGACAGCTTCAGCCCAAGTGTGTGAATGATGTCCTCAGTGTCCTTGTCTGTGAGATACCCACAGTGGTTCTGGTCAAAGTAAGAACACGCCAGCAGAAGACCAGGGTTCACTGTCTTCTTCTTTGACTTCTCTTCTGGTTTCTTCTTCTTCTTGTCACCTGGCAAAGCCATAGGAAGTAAAAGACACCAGGTTTAAAGCTTTAAAGCAGTACACAGAGGCAAAATCAGAGTAACTTTGGTCATTTATGACTAATCATGCAGGGCAAAGGTCGTTCTAAAGTGCTATAAAAAACTTGCCTTGTTTTATTCATTTGAGATATGGAACAATAAGCAGATGAGTGGAAAAATTTCTAACAAGCAGAAACGTGATTTTTTTTCTTTTTTAGAAGAATGCAAAGAACAGCATGGAATGATAGAAAAACAAACAAGTTGGTTTTTCTCGAGACACATGAAAATTGTAAACTGCTTAAGGAAATTAGACATTGTGTGTGTGTGTGTGTGCCTGCATGCATGTCAAAGGTTAAAGGGTAAAGTCATGAGAATCGACTTCACTGCACCAGGTTTGGTCCCATATGGCTCTGTCTCTCTCAGCAGAACGGCTAGCAGCCTGCTGAAAGCGCCGCGTAGAGCACAAACTCTTTTTTGAAATAAGCAGGCAGATAGACTGGCCGGTTCTGCACCACTTGGTGGTGAACTGATGAATGACAAGCTGGATGTCATGAGGGCCCTTTGGGAGCAAGTTAACAGTGCCGAGGCACAAACAGATCATTATGGTCTAGAGAGAATGGCGCTGCGAGTAGTTACCAGGGGATCTGGCCAATGTTCGACACTCAGGGGAAAGGTGAGACAGATATACAATTAGACAGTAGCTGCTAAAGATAGGGACGGAGCACTTATGGTGGTGTCCCGAGTGCTGATATGTCGATTCCTAATTCAACATCCAACATGTTTACTTCTTCTTAGTGTGCACAGGCTGTAAACAGAGAGTTCTGGCTGTTCGACCATCTCTGGACTGTGGTCTTATTCTATTCAACTAAGTTTACTGAGGAGCCACAATTCTGAATCATAAGGATCGTCACGGACTAGAGGCCTGAGCCCCTGCACAGAAACATCCTTAATTCAACAATGATCAGGCCACTTGCTAGGCTTTGGTGGGCCAGATTTGGCTCACGGGACATCTGTTGAATAGCCCGAATCTAGAACTTGAGTTTTGCTTGCACATTAATTTTATAGATCCAGCTTATCTGTATGCAGACTGTTGGTTCCCGCCTCTCAGGCAGATGCACTCCAATTTCAAAGGAAACACCCATAATCGGTCATCTCTTATGACATGCTAATTAGTGAGTCAGCGGGTCTGTTCTTTGTCCTCCTAGTAATGGGGCCTGAAATCCACGCGGGGAGGATGTGTTAATGAGAAGAATGGATTCCAGAACTTGGTGAGAACTGGAAAGATTGATAGACACAGAGAAAGGCGAAGGCAAAGACAAACCTAACCCTAAACCTAAACTCAAAGAAACAAGACAGAGTAAAACCACAATTATCTGAATGTAAATCAGAAAAAAAAACTCACCTTTGTCTTTCTTGTCTTCTTTCTCCTTGTCCTGAAATTTAAAATGAAAACACACTTTTGATTCATCATCATCAATTTCTACTTCTGCCGTTCAATCATGTGCTTGCAATCGCTGTCTCCCACAGAATGCCTCTTTTTTCTCTCGCACCTTGACTCGTTCTCTTTCTCATCATGAGATTCTCAACAATCTTACATTTCTCACATGGGCTCACAATCCGTCTTTTTTCGACATTTATTCCCTGATTATCTCTTAAGTGGCCTACACATCCCACTGGGGAATCCATTCTGACGTCATAGGGTTTCCCCCACATCATTACACACTCTCTCTCTTGTGTGTGTGCGTGTGTCTCTCTCTGTGTGTGTGTGTCTGTATGTGTCTCTGTGTGTGTGTGCCTCTGTCTGTCTATGTGTGTGTATGTGTCTGTGTATCTGTCTGTCTATCTGTGTCTGTGCACGTGTGTATGTGTCTGTATCTGTGTGTGCATCTGTCTGTGTGTGTGTGTGTCTGCTTGTTTGGGTGTCTGTCTCTTTGTGTGTGTGTCTGTCTCTGTGTGTGTGTGTTTGTGCGTGTGTGTGTAAGCAGCATAATTAACTCTGCAAAATTTAGCTTTAGAAAAACAATTTACAAAATCACTTACCTCATTCTCACCATCTTTCAAGCTTTGGTCCTGTGAAGCTTCATCCAAGTCTGTCCGCTCATTTCCATCAGCCTGTTAACATCAAATTAGAAACTGTTCTCATATCACTGTTATGCATTCAACTTGAATCATACTGTTTCTGCATTGTGCACACAATTCACTACGATTGCCCAAAATAACATCTAAGGAAAAAATCATGCAAATCTTTTTGCCAAACAAGATCACAAATTAAGAAGGTAACTAAAATGTTCATCACTGACAAATGTTATAAAGAAAGCAGATGGAGATGGCTTGGACATGTTTGCAGAATGCCTCTGACACTGTAGCAAGGTCCCCATGTGGGTTCTGGGGCCCTATTGTAGGAAAACAAGAATAGACCCACTGCCTACCCGAAAGCATGTCGTAGAGTCGACTAACTGGGTAGGTTCCGTCTGAGTGCATCTGCCTGAGAGCCAAGGAACCAGCAGCAAATGAGTCATATCTGTAAAACGGATGCACATGCAACACTCAGGTTCTGGGAAAAGACTAAAAGTCTAGAAGTGGACGAACAACCAGAACTTTCTGCCAGAGTTTACAGCTGGTGAGCACAAAAAAGAAGAAGAAAACTTGGGCAAAGGTAGCTCTGTGGTGGATGGCAGGAGGAAAGAGATGGCGTGGAGAAACTAAGGAAACCTGGAGAAGGACAGTAAAAAGAGAAATAAAGATACGCAGCAGACAGGTTGCACTGAAGATCACTTGTGAATGCTGCATGTGTCAAAAACAACATTAAGATATAGACCGTTCTTCTTCTTAAAATCCATGCCGTGTGGTGTTGGTAGTCATGTCTATCCACAACCTTCTGTCTCGTGTACTTTCAATCAACTCTGACACAGATGATCTTCTATGCCGTGTGGTGTTGGTAGTCATGTCTATCCACAACCTTCTGTCTCGTGTACTTTCAATCAACTCTGACACAGATGATCTTCCATGCCATGATGTGGGCAATCAGTTCTCTTTGTCAGCCAGCTTCTTTAAAGACGTCTTCATTACTCTTTTTATCTTCCAGGGTATTCTCATCATTCGCTACAGTCAGTTATAGATATACAACTCATTAAAGGTTAACCGATTTAAAGGGTTTGAACATCTGACAAGAATCCCCTGCTACCAACAACCAAAGACGGCAATTTTCTAGAAAAATGAATGTATAATGAGCATTTGAAATCTGTTCCCTTGGCTTTATTACAAAAACATGAAGAAGCATCAACAAGTGTGGGCAGAATTAAGCATTCGTTTTTAATTAATTATGAACCACCAGTTGGTGAGAAAAGAGCCATAGGCATTCAGGCAAACATTCCCCCATTGCTTAGCTAGGCAGAAATTGCCACAGATTAAAAAAAAAAAATGGATAAGGCCCATTTTCAATGGGTCACCAGTTTTCAACTGTATGAGCAGACCATTTCTATTTTGGTAAGATGCAATGGGTTTGACGTCTGCATGTCTGAGGCCTGTCTAATTAGCCTAATTCTATATCCAGCTCTTTCTTGTTCTGCCTGTTCTCATCTTCCCTTCTATAAGTTAAATTGGTTTTTTTATTTTGTTAAATAATCAAAAGTTAATTTATAGAGACATTTTTTTCTCAGTATTAGTATGTAGCAAAAGCAAAACCAGTAATCATCATCATCATCATCATGTGATAGGTTTTTGCGCAGAATACAATCAAGTATAACACTTTTCTATTTAAAAAAAAATATTTTTCGGTACTAATCATGCCCACATGTCCCTGTAGCGCAAAAGTTCTTTTCCCTCCTATTCATGCCGTGGACATTCCCTCGCCTGTCCTATGTATGTTGTGGGTGTGTTATGAGATGGCTTCGTTCCGCAATCGCTTGCCGTTTTTAATGTTTGTGGAAGGTTGTGTTGTCGTGAGTCTGTTAGAGGTATCGCAGACGCCTGTGTACAAGTAAGAAGTATTGCAGGGAAAGCGCCAAAAAGCATGACTGTTCATGAGCATTAAAATTGGAATCTTTTTTTATTTATAGGTTCCTTGGCGGTGACTTCCCCCTATAAGAAGAAATCACTGACAAGAAATATAGAAATAAAAAAACAGATTAGTTTTTTTACTCAAAAACTGTCGTGCAAGTAATCATCCAATTGAGCAGTGACAACATGGGAAAAGAGAGAACAGTTAAACAGTTGAAAATAAGCAATACATGACACCCCCACAACATAGGACCAGCCGAGGGAATGGCCACACCATGAATGGGAAGAGAAGAAACTTTCACGCTACGGTGACATGCGGGCAGGTTTGTGATAAGTACCCAGTTTTCATTATATCTAGCTACAGTAAAAATTACACAGCATGAGAAATTAACTTCGGAAAAACTTACCCCCTGCCCAGACTTTGCCCTTTTTGGGCTAGGTTCCTGTTGGACAAAAACAGTTAACATGATATTAATGTGGGATCAAGTAAAGAATTTGGTTCTATTAACAAAAAATGAGAACACCCTAGACAGATAAAATGAGTAATGAAGATGTCTTGAAAGAAAATAACTCATGAAAAACACTGACTGCCCACATCAGAAAGAGAAAGAGACAATCTATATTCTTTGGTCATGTTTATGGAAATGAGAAAACTGGTGGTGGTGGGAAAGTTGGAGGGAAGAAAAGGTAGAGGGAGACCGAGAAACAGATGCTGGACAGTTTGACATCATCACATGGAGGATCATCTGTATCAGAGTTGACTGAAAGTACACAAGACAGAAGGCTGTGAACAGACATGACTACCAACGCCACAAAGCATAAGAAGAATAAGGAAGTAAAGAAATTTGTTAAAATGATATTAATCTAGGATCAAGTGTGACGCCCTCTTCTGGCGAGGTTTCCCGATAAATAGAAACCACTAAAAACATTATATTAATATGGGATTGAAGGGTGACGTGATAATCGCAGGAGTTTAAAGCCTGTGAAGGCGAAGGTGATGTGGTCTAAAATATGCTGGTCGCCTTTACTTCCCAAAACATTTTTGCATACCAATTTCAAACCAGATCAATGCAGAAACCAAAGTCAACTGTACACCACCCTTTAGCCAGGAAAGCATGTTTAAGCCACTGCATTACACAACTTCCATGGTCAAGGCAACAGACATGATTCTGAACACACAGCAGATCAAGCGCAGTCTGGTTTGTACAATTAGATGAAATTGACGACAGGTCCAAATCCACCCCAAGGCATGAAACTGAGTCCTGTTTTTTTTTTTAAATTAAAAAAACATTTTCTTTTTAAAGTTGCGGTACCGAGATGGCTAGATGTCTGTCTCTCAACCTGGAAATCTAGGATTCAAATCCTTTTTCAAAAAGTACACTAGTTCCTTAGTCGACGCAGCCTAAAACAGGTGCCAGGGAGTGTCCTGGAAAGTAAAGGCAGCTAGCGTGATGCTTACCACATCACTCATCTCATGTTGTGACCTATCAAAAATACAGGCCTAGCACTATCTGCAGGATGCTCCCAAGGGTTAAACAAAAGATCTTTTACTTCTTTTAATTTTTTTGTGGTAAACTGACTACTGTATTTTATATTTAACCTATCTGATTGATTCTGAAATATTTACCCGATCCTCCGATTTCTTGCTTGCTGGACTTGATTCCTTGTGAACAAAAAGAAAGCAAGAAAGATTGATTTATTAATAGGTGGAGTTACAGTGTTGTAGTGATTAGTGAACTTGTCTGCAAAGATGGTGACCTGGGTTCAACCCGCTGCAGAAGCAGATATACTTGATTCCAACCAGTATGGGATGGATCTAAAAAAACCTTTTATCCCTTCTGTAGACAGTTTTGAAAAAAAATTTTTTTTTAGCAGTAAAGGACCCTTTTCCCACATCTTCAGGTCTATTGGGCATATAGGGCTAGACCTATATTTTATAGACCAACGGGCACTTGGGAAGTGATGTGGTCAACATCAAGCTGGCCGCCTTTACTTCTCATGACTTTACCTGGTACCTATTTAAGGCTGGGTCAAATTGGGAGCCACAGTCATTCTGGTAACTACAGGCAACCAGGGATATCAGATATATACTTCCTGGGAGGTTAACCATCCTAGCCAAGCTGTAAACATAGACAAATGATTTATATCTTTGGACGAATGCAGAAGAAGAAGAAATATGTTCTCACCCTTCTGCCTGTTAAAATAAGGTATGTGTGCACCAGAAAAAAAAATATTGCAACTGGAAAAACATAACACAATTGGAAGAACATAACAAACAGTACACAACTGGGAACACAACTAACTACAAGAAAAGCAACTTACATCAGGCTTGTCTTTGCTGCAGTTATCTTCCTCCGACTCTTTCTTAATCTCTTGATCCTTTTCATCTCTGTCTTTCTTTTCCTCCTTATCTTTGGTCTGTTTCTTTTCACAGTCCCCTCTAGCTGCAGCCTGAACCAGACACTTGTAAATTTGAAAGCCAAAGTCCCTCATCAGCATCTCGTTGAATAGCTCAGCAAACAGAGACACCTGTAGACGGGTTTCCAGTCTGGCTCATTCTATATACCCAGTGACTCATCAATAATGAACAATAAAAAATGAGCAAACAGAGAAACCTGTAGAAGGGTTTCCAGTCTGACTCATTCTATATACCCAGTGACTCATCAATAATGAACAATAAAAAATGAGCAAACAGAGAAACCTGTAGAAGGGTTTCCAGTCTGGCTCATTCTATATACCCAGTGACTCATCAATGATAAACAATAAAATATGAGCAAACAGAGACACCTGTACAAGGGTTTCCAGTCTGACGTGCCCAGTGACTCATCAATATTAAACATTCTTCTTTTTAGTAAACCTCAGCAGAAAGCTCTTGTTGTTTGTCCACTTCTGGATTTTGTATGCTCCAGAACTTGAGTTTTGTGTGCACATCTGTTTTACAGATCTGGCTTATTTGTAGGCAGTCTGTTGGTTTCTCATCCCTCCGGCAGATGCTCTCCGACTTCAGAGGAAACACTTCTAATTCATCACAGTTTATTACCCGCTTGTTAGACAGCAGTGGGTCTATCCCCCCAACCCATACTCCACAGAGAGAATCAGGTACTCAACAATACCCCATTCTATAACAATTATCTTCTCCTGTAAATTAAAATAAAGGAATATTTTCCACATTTTTGGGCATATAGGGCTAGACCTATACTTTATAGACCAATCAGCACTTGGTGGGTGATGTAGTCAGCATCACACCGACCGCCTTTACTTCCCAGGACTGCACCTGGTACCCTCCCAAGGCTGGGTTGACCTGGGAGACAAGGTCATTTTTGAAAACATTCCAGCTCCATCAGGACCTGAACCCATGACCTACCGAACCGTAGGCTGGCGTCTAGACGCCACACCACGGTGACTCCTATCTCCTCCTGTACTCAATAATGAATCTTCTTCTTATGTGTTGGTATGCTGTGTCGTGGTTTACAGCTAGGCTGCCACATATGTGCCTTTCGGTGCAAGCACATCCGATTTAAGCAAATCTTTCATTAGTCAAGTCGGCTCTGTGGCTAAGTCAATGCGAACGCTTCGGAATGCCGGGATGCCCGGTTTGATCCCAGCTGCGGGCCATCTTGTACTCATGTGCCTTGCCTTGGTTTCGACTGTGGTATCAAGAAAGCCGACCATCCAGAAAGCAATAGCAAACTACTTGCCTATAAAAACCATGCAACAGCCAGGGGCTGTTGGTTCTGCAACGTCCTGTAAAGGATACGCAACTAACCTTTTCATTAGTCATCTGTAATAACATGCCAGTTGGGGGGGGGGGGGGGGGGGGGGGGGGGGGGGGCAGTGAGTCTATTTCCCCGCCCTCCCCCAAAGTGACATGCCAGAATCCACAAAGGGACTATAATGAATTCAATAACAATAATCTCATACTGCACTCAACAATGACTCATTCTATACCTTTTATCGCATCCTGTACACAACAATGCCATTCTACATCTTTTTATCTTATCCTGTACTCAACACTGATCCCTTCTACATCTTTTTAACTCATCCTGTACTTACTACTGACCTATTCTACATCTTTGTTTCTCATCCTGTACTCAACTTTGACTTATTCTATACATTTTACCACAACCTGTAATCAACACTGATTCATTCTATACCTTTTATCTCATCCTTTACTCAACATTGATTTATTCTGTACCTTTTATCTCATCTTGTACTCAACATCGAAAACTATACCTTTTATCTTATCATGTACTCAACAATAACCCCTTCTATATCTCTTATCTCATTCTGTACTCAACACTGATTCATTCTATACCTTTTATCTAATCCTGTACTCAGCAATGATTAATTCTATACCTTTTATCTCATCTTGTACTCTATAGTGAGAACTTCTATACCTTTTATCTCATCTTGTACTCAACAGTTACTCATTCTGCATCTTTTTATCTCATCCGTTACTAGACAATGACCCCTTCTATACCTTTTATCTCATCCTGTGCTCAACAATGACTTACTCTATACCTTTTATCTCTTCATGTACTCAAAAATGACTCATTCTATACATTTTACCTCATTCTGTACTCAACACTGACTTATTCTACATTTTATTTACCTTTAATCTCATCTTATACTCAACAATGACCCTTTCTACACCAATTATCTCACCATGCACAGAAAGTTAACACATTCTAAATCTAGTATCTCACCATCCACTGAACATTATCTCATTCTTCTTCTTCTTTTGCATTCTTCGCATTCACCAGCTGTAAACTATGGCAGAAAGTTCTTGTTGTTCATCCACTTCCTGTTGCAGAACCTGAGTGCTGCGTGTGCATCAGTTCTACAGATCTGACTCATTTGTATGCAGACTGCTGGTTTCTTGCCTTTCAGGCACATGCACTCCGACTTTGAAAGAAGCTCCCAAATAGTCGACTCTTACGACCTGCTTCTGGGTAGGCAGAGAACAGGGTCCTGGAACCTGCATGGGTATCATTCAGACAAAGTTGCAAATGTGTTGTACCCATTTAAAACATGGCTGTAATAGCTGGTTAACCTTACTGGTTAGCATTCCCGGTTAGTTTCATGGGAAACTGTTCACAGCCGCCCCATAAGGCTAGTCAGTGCTGAAGAGAAGGGAGGGGCAGAACAGGAGCATTATCTGCCATCCAAGGAGACTTCCATAAATGCAGAGCCAATACATGAGGCTTCGCTATTGGGCTTACCCAAAAAATCGCCAATTCCTGTTTAGTCAATTATTCATCCTGCACGTTTCTTCATGTAGTGAACATCCACTCTGAACTTTTTGTGCTCTATACAGGAGTGTTGAGAACACATAAACACAGCATCACCTACCTCAAAGGAATGTTCCTTGCTGTCCTCTGGCCTGTAATCTAACAACAAACTAAGGGACATCACTGAGCAGTCAAATTTGCTGCCCTTGGCAGTGGCAGATGGATGAACCAGCACTGAAGGAGTCTCCGACAATTTGTATCGTCGCTCTAGCACAGCTCTTTCCCGTTTTTCTTTTCTCTTCAGTTCATCATCCTTGTAATGTAAAAAAAAAGAACATTTGTATTTTAACTCATGCAAGCAAGTTAAAGTAAAGAAATCTAATGCCTCGCATCTTTCCCTGCAAGCAAGTTAAAGTAACAAATTCTGAGGTCAGGAATCTTTCCCTGCAAGCAAGTTAAAGTAACAAATTCTGAGGTCAGGAATCTTTCCCTGCAAGCAAGTTAAAATAACAAATTCTGAGGTCACGAATCTTTCCCTGCAAGCAAGTTAAAATAAAAAATTCTGAGGTCACGAATCTTTCCCTGCAAGCAAGTTAAAATAACAAATTCTGAGGTCAGGAATCTTTCCCTGCAAGCAAGTTAAAGTAACAAATTCTGAGGTCAGGAATCTTTCCCTGCGAGCAAGTTAAAGTAACAAATTCTGAGGTCACGAATCTTTCCCTGCAAGCAAGTTAAAGTAACAAATTCTGAGGTCAGGAATCTTTCCCTGCAAGCAAGTTAAAGTAACAAATTCTGAGGTCAGGAATCTTTCCCTGCAAGCAAGTTAAAGTAACAAATTCTGATGTCAGGAATCTTTCCCTGCAAGCAAGTTAAAGTAACAAATTCTGAGGTCAGGAATCTTTCCCTGCAAGCAAGTTAAAGTAACAAATTCTGAGGTCACGAATCTTTCCCTGCAAGCAAGTTAAAGTAACAAATTCTGAGGTCAGGAATCTTTCCCTGCAAGCAAGTTAAAGTAACAAATTCTGAGGTCAGGAATCTTTCCCTGCAAGCAAGTTAAAGTAACAAATTCTGAGGTCAGGAATCTTTCCCTGCAAGCAAGTTAAAGTAACAAATTCTGAGGTCAGGAATCTTTCCCTGCAAGCAAGTTAAAGTAACAAATTCTGAGGTCAGGAATCTTTCCCTGCAAGCAAGTTAAAGTAAGAAAAGTGATTTTTTTCCAAAACTCTTTGAGAGTGAGGTTGTCCCTTCAGTTACCTGAAAACAATGCTCGAAGAGTGCTTTAGTGTAGAGCTTCTTAAAGTTAGAAATAACTTGCTGGTCCATGGGCTGGAGTAATGGAGTGATGTTGGGAGGTAGAAACTGGATCTTGATGAACTTAAATTCTTCAGAAAGGTCATCTTCTAGGCCTGGAGGTTTCGTGTACATATATCACAATATAACACAAGTTTGAGAAAATGTGTGATAACAAGCGACACTACGATGCTACTGAAACGAGTGCTAAACACAGACTGATGTAACATGCGCACAATTCCGGACTTTCCCTCCCCTCGCCACTTGTTATGCGAAGCGGCGCTCGTTAAGCAAGTAATTTTTTTTACAATTTGTTTTGTCGTTATGCAAATTACTCGTTATCAGAGGTGCTCCTTAAGCGAGGTTCTACTATATTTAAACATGAATACAAGAAGATGAGTTTTCACAGCACTAGGAAATGCGTGGAAGTCAAAGGAAATTGAAACTACTACTTAACTTAAAACTATTAACTCCAAAGTCAAATCAGTACTTTTGTATGGAGTGGAAACACGGAGAACAACTAAAACAGGTACTAATAAACTAAAAACTTTCGTTAACTGGTGCCTGCGCAGAACAGAGGGAATTCAATGTTGAGCTTTAAGACTGAGCTAAATAAATTCAAGTAAATCAAGAGGAGAGTAAAAGATGCTGACATTGCGTAGGACAAACATTGAGAAAACCTAAGAAAAATATAACTAGAGGGGCTTTAAACTGCAAACCATAAAGAGTATAGAAACAGAGGTAAACAAAAAACAACACACAAAAAACACACTGAGAAGGAACTAGAAAGTGAAGTTAAAAATATAGGGAGGACATGGGAGGAGCATCATGTGAAAGCAAAAGATAGGACTTGTCGTGAGTTGGTTGAGGGCCTGTACACCGTTGGGGGATAAAGGGTAGAAGAAAAAGAAGGATAATTACCTCTCGTCTTTTACTTCCGGCATCAGTATCCTCATCGTTTGTCTTGACATCTTCTTCTTCTTTGGTCACTTCCACCTCCTGAATGAAGGCAAAAAGATTAGCATAAATACCACAAATATACGAGGGCCACCAGTGTGTAGCGGCTAGACGCTTGTCTTCGGATCAGAAGGTCATAGATTCTTCTTCTTGTGTTTGGTTTCGTATGCTCAGATCAAACCATTAGGTGGGTTGCCTCTATGAACTCGCATGTCAGTAGCAGGTCCTTCATGGTTCCCCATAGCTTGCTCTGCACAGTTTCCTCTTGAGCCCAGGCGTCTTTTCAAAGTTGTAGAGAGAATAGACATGTCTGCAGAATGTGCTCAGGTGTTTGAGGTCCTGTCTGGTCACAGTTTCCGCTTCTGATGGAAGTGGATTTTTCTCAGAAATGACCTTGGCTCCTAGGTTGACCCCAGCCTTGAGTGGGTGCCAGGTATAGTCCTGGGATGTTAAGGCTGCCAACAAGATGCTGACCACATCATCCATTGAGTGCCGATTGGTCTATAAAATACAGGTCTAGCCCTGTATGGCTAATACACCTGGATGCGCGGGAAAAAGAGTCCTTTTCCTTTAATTAACTACAAATTTATGACCCTAAGAAGTACACTGTACTGAGCCCGCTCTTAGGGACCCTTAGGTAAAGCAAAGAATAGAAACATTTAGGGACCCTTGGGAGGGGGGGGGGGGGGGGGGGGGGGGCAAAGAATATAAACATTTAGGGACCCTTAGGGGAAGCACAGAATAGAAACATTTAGGGACCCTTAGGGGAAGCAAAGAATAGAAACATTTAGAGACCCTTAGGGGAAGCAAAGAAAAGAAACACTAAATCCAACCAGATATGCAAAGAATGACAAAGGCAGTGGTTGTCAAACTGGAGTTAGGGCACAAGGAAGTGAAGAGGGGAGGGGGGGGGGGGGGTATGGTGTTGAAGTAAAATTATTTTTTTTTAGCTTAATTATAAATAAAATGTTTTTTAAACTATTTATAAATTTATCAAGCAAGGACATTTTTTTTTGGTTTTCATGAGCAGTTTGTATATCCAGCATTAAAAAATATTCTCCCTATGTTCATTTAAGTCTCCATTTGGCTCTTTTAGCCTGTTAGTTCCAATTAAAGGTTACTCTAGTCAACTATTATCAGGTTGTCTCAATGTGTGTCCTATCCAGCTCTTGCCCTCACCTCTTGACTTAGCAGACTTTGTTTAGATCTCTCCTAAACTTCTGTATTAGCAATAAATCATGCTCTTTAATACATATTCTTTAAGGGCACCAGTTAGTGTTTACAAATCATAACTAAATAATTAAGTCATTCTGTAATTTTCTTATTACAGACAGTAGTAATGATCTGACGTTAGATAGATCTAAATATTCTAATTGTAAAATCTTGTACAATTAGAACACAGAATCATCAAACTCACAGCAGCAATCTCTTTGCTTTCATGCTCATCCCGCTCTAACCTAATCACCTTCGTCAGCCGAGCAACCAGCTGTGACTTCAATCCCTTGGCATTCAGGTTTCGAAGCTCCAGCTCACGCTGCATTTCTCCTACCTGCAACACAAATCATAATTATTTATGATCTCCTACCATGAAAGTACTGCTGACAGAGAAGTCTGGCAATTTCTCTGGCAAACCTACACCCCTTGGTCCTTCAAAGTCCGAGTGCATCTGCCCGAGTGGCAAGGAACAACCAACTGTTAGGTTAGTTGCTTATCCTTTACAGGACGTTGCAGAACCAACCCCAACAGCCCCTGGCTGTTGTGTGGTTTTTCTAGGCAAATTTACATCCAGTAGTTTGCCATTGCTTACTGAATGGTCGGCTTTCTTGATACCACTGTCGAAACCAATGCAAGGCACAAGGCCCGCAGCTGGGATTGAACCCGGCATCCTGGCATTATGAAGCGTTCGCATAAACTTAGCCACAGAGCCGACACGACCAACTGTACACCACACAAATAAGCCAGTAAAATTGATATATATGCCGTGGCACAAAGCCAAAGTCCAAATAAATGAACAACCAGGACTTTCCGCCAGAGCTTACAGCCGGAGAGCGAAGAAGAAGAAGAAATGGCTCCATGCACAGTTGAGTGAGAGGATTTCAAAACCATCCCAAAGAACACAACTTTGCTACAGGACATCACTTGCTTGAGTCAATTCATGTGATTGACAAGGACAGTGCATTCCATGTGATTTACCCCACACCAAACATGTGAATGCTGAGACTGGCTGCAGCTTTTATAATGAAACTGAATAACCTACTCTTATGTCAACAGAAGGAGTCTATCATAAATCTGAAGTAATCCTGCTAAGTCATGTGACTATTGTGAATGTCTGGGGATAGGACAACAATGAATCACAAGAGGCCATTTTGTGTTTCTCTGTAGTTAATTCATCATATGTTATGCTTTACTGTATGTTGACGTAACAATGTGGTAATGTATCTGATGAGATACACAAACATACAAACATACCTTCATAACCTTCAGGTCAAGAGCAGAATAATGGCTTGGCTCAGGTTTTGTGGCCGCCTCCTGTTCCTCAGTTTCTTCCTCTCCCTAAAGACAAATGATCAGAGACAAAAATGTTACATCAAATAAGGAATGAAAACTAATGGCAACCCACTCCAGGCAAGTCTGGCAGAATAGAAGAAATTAAATGCTGAGCTTTGAGTCAAATGTAAATAGAAGGGCTTTAAACTTGAACCCAAAGGGTGCAGAAATAAAGGTAGACACACACACAAAAACACATGCAAAAGGGAACTAGAGTGAAATTTAAAATATGGGGAGGATTTGGGAGGAGCTGCATGTAGGAGCAAAGGACAGGATGACTTGGCGTGATTTGGTTCACTGTCTATATACTGTTATGGGGATAAAGGGTAGAAGAAAAAGAATATTAATTTCATACTTTCCCTATATCCCCCCCCCCTTCCCCCCCCCCCCCCAAACAGGAGTTCCACAGGTCATGGGACAGTCTAATATTTCAGGGGGTGGTAGATGAATCTTATAGTTAGTAATTAGGCATTTCATTTGCCGCGCAGTTTCGCGCTGTGTAGAGTGTGCTTCATGCACTGTTTTTTTGGTGTGCGTTTTTCTGTGTGTTGGTGCAATCAGGAGAGTGCAGTTTTTATGGGTATTGGGGGGGGGGGGGGGGCTGGGGAAGAGGACCTAGGCTGCATACAGACCTGAGACCTAGGTTGCATTCTCTCATGGGATATAGATGGGTTGGGGTTAGGGTCAGTTGTGAATGTTTTGGAGTCGTTAAAATCGCTCACATCGTGGAATATAGAACACTCAATATTGCTGGCAGATTATCTTTTTTTTTTTAAACTTTGTGTGCAATCGGGGAGAAATTGCCAACTGGGATATTGTGGGGATGGCCTTAAAAAAGATCAATTATTCTAGATGTTTACTGCAGGATTCATGCATGAACTGACAATTAGAACAGTTTTATGCATTAGTAGAGCTTGAGAGAGGTCGGAATGCGGAAACTGCTACTGCGGCGACAGCAGACATGACAGACTATTGTTCTGGTGGCCAAAATGCAACAATGTCTGCCAGAGAGCGACCCACTTGATGAGTGCGTCTAGGCTACATAAACTTGCACATACAGGAATCTAATAAATATCTGTGGGTCCCATTCTGCCACTTGTTTCTCTCCTTTGCCAACCTCCACATGCGCTCAATGCAATGCGCATGCACACCTGTGGTGGGGTCGACAAAATTGATGAAGTGACTGACGGAAAGATGCGTCAATCCAGGAATATTCTCAATTCCATTGTAAGCACGCCACACGTAGGAGACTACTGTCATGTGCCAGGTCTAATGTTTGTGCTAATGATCAGCAGAAACATCTCTGCTTTTCTGTCTGGAACACAACTGTCAAGGAATGAACCGCCACTACACATAGTAGACGAGTCGGGACCTTGTATCCCCCCCCCCCCCCCCCCCTCGGCAAAAATTTCAAACTTAGACCCGTCCGGAAAGATATATAGTCCCTTATATGGATCTATACCTTTATAGGATAAAATACTAGACCTTCTAGTTGCTTTGACTTATCGTCATTTTCAAATTTGCAAATGTAGGTTGACGATTTCTAGGGTTTTATTTGAATACTCCTGGAAACCGGTTTACTCCTTGCTCATGTATACAAGGGACTTCTTTCTACTGACGCCAAGCGTAAGTTAGAGCAGGGATTCTTCTGCCTGCATTCCTAGAGATCAGATATGTTCATCGGCGCCTCGTAAATTTATACTTTGAGAAGGCGGCCTGTAGTGTCTAGGACATTTCCTAAGCTTGGGATGAAACCTCTGTAGAGAGCGGGCAGATCAATCACAGTCCTACCAACAACTGCCAACCAACCACCAGCTAACACCAGTGAATGTACCTGGCATTAACATGTCGTGCCCTATACGCCACTACTTTAACATGGCCAGAGTGTGTGTGTGTGAGCTCCAGGGCGAGTGAACATTTGCAGAGATTGTGTCAGAATCAAGTTTACCAGTCTTCAGGAGCTTGGTTGAGCTCCGAGGCAGCTTTGTGACTTGACCTGTGGGAGAGACTTGTTGAGTCCCTATACAGTTTCTGTGTCCTCGATGGTGGGGCACTCCTCTGTAACCAGATCAACTTGAGGCAGAGCTACCAGAGTCATCTACAGTCGAATCACCATGGACTGAGGGGAGCATCAACAAAGGAACTCTGAGAAGTGACAGTTTTGTTTCATTATCATGCTCTATTCCCCACAGCTCCACAGTATTCCGGTGATGACATTGAGATACTCTTCTAGACGATCTGGCTGTTTCAATCTCGGAGTCCTGATTCTATGAACATTCTGGGACAGTATTCTTCTGTTTGTGTAAATAATGTGTACTTATTACATACATTCATTTTCATGGCTGACTTAGGTGTCTCTATTTCACCTTTCTAATTGTTTAGCATTGATGTGTGTATGAATAATAAGTGTTTTATGTGTTAACATGGTTATGATAGTAGCCTATCATAACCTGGGGGCTATCTTTTTATAGTAGTGGGGGTGTCCAGCCAAGTATGCCTAGGAATATTATATTTATATATATATATATATATATATTTGGTAGTGCCAATACTTGAGTTGCCCTACTCCAGAAATAAGTTGAGCGTATATTGGCCACGGGGCATCCCTTAGACTAATACGAGCCAAACGACTGAACATAATTATTTCTGAGTGCTGTTGGTTCTTAAGGAGAAATCCGTAAATCAGGCACGTGACAAGAGTGATATGTGACATGGAACACAAAACATAAAGCACTTGCCTGTTTCACAACAGATGCCACCAAATACCCACAGTTGTGGATACACTCAACCCACATGATTTTTCCAGCTGCAAAGACTTGCATTAATTTTAACAGTGGTGTTCTCTCCGCCGATCACTGGAGGATTCAATGATAATGTATTGGCACAAACCTCCCATACGTAGTTGCTCCACTCCACAGTTGTATTCTTTGTCATGCCCAGTTCTACTTGGCAAAACTGAAGGCTTGTCAACTAGTGAGACCAGTAGTACAGAAACAGAATGATCGATCTGTAAGGCAGGGTGACCCTTCCAGCCATCGGTCCTCTTCTTCCATCTGGTATAACAGTATCGTATGATTATTGCAACAATGTCTGGTTTTATGCAGAATGCCATAATGTTGCAGAAAAGCTACGCTAGTCTATTTGTCAGGTACCGATCCTGCTGATTCCAGGAAATTCATGGCGATGAAGATAAAGAAATGCGCCAAAGAGGAAACTCACCAATACCTTGGCAATAGTTGGCAACGCTTCGCAACGACGACACATACACTTGAAAATATGGCACTGTCCCGTAGGGGAGATATTGGGAAAGAACGGAAAAATTACCTCTCCTCGTCTTTTACTTGCGGCATCAGTATCCTCATCATTTGTCTTGACTTGTTCTTCTTTGGTCACTTCCACCTCCTGAATGAAAGCAATGAGATTAGCATACATACCACAAATATATGAGGGCCGCCAGGGTGTAGCAGTTTAGATGCTTGCCTTCAGAACAAAAGGTCATAAGTTCTTCTTCTTCTTTGTGTTCGGTTTTGTATGCTCATGTCAAACCATCAGATGGTTTGAGTCTATGAACTCACATACCAGCTGCAGGTTCTTCATGGTTCCCCATAGCTTGCTCTGCATGCACTGCTCTTGAGGCCGGGTTTCTTTTCGAAGCTGTAGGTAGAGTGACCAGGTCTGCAGAATGTGCTCAGGTGTTCGTGGTCGTGTGAATTTTTCTCAACAAATGACATTGGCTTTCAGGTCGACTCAGCCTTGACTGGGTACCAGGTATATCCTGGGAAGTAAAGACTGCCGATGTGATGCTGACCATATCATCCATTGAGTGCCGATTGTCTAGTTAAGTCACGGGACTACTGTGAACATCCTGTGATTAGACAACAATGGATCGCAAGAGACCATTTTGTGTTTCAATGTAGTTTATTCATCAGTTTTGTGTGTGCTTCACTGTATATTGATGTCTCTGTAGTAACACATCTGATGAGATGCAGTGAAATATACCTGGCAATAAATTGCACAACATACTGTTAGTGTCTACATTTTTTAATTCGCTACAGGAAAACATTGTTTTGTATATTTATTTCCATTGCGGTAGATTTGCAAAAAGATGCACAAACCGAAAAATAACAATGTGATACAAATTCAGCATATTAGTTCCAAAGTGGTAACATATGAGGTATTGTATATAAAAATGTCTAGCCAGGTTTCCTTAGCGTGCTGAAGCCAAATTTAAAAGATATAATTACACAACATTTTGTTTTTTATACAGATAAATAATAATTGTTTGTGCAAGGTGTTTCTTGAGACAGAAAGAGTTAAGGTGGAGAGTTGGCTTTTGTTAAAAAAAAAAGCATAACAAAATAAAGCATTAAGACATCACTGAAACACAATGTGTTGATAAATCTCTGTCAATCAAACAATCCTCACTGCGCATAGAGGTATATAAGGCAGAGCCAAACTGTGTCCTTGAGCTCAGCCTAAAAGGTTCGCCTCCAAGCACCTCTGGGCTGCCTATTCCTTGCTGTTCTTGTTGTGTCCATGTCATTGGCTGTCTCGGCCATCTCTCTTCCATTATTCCGAGGACATGTCCAGTCTACCTCCATCTTCGTTTTCTGATCTCAAAATTTACATCTTCTGTCATTTGTTGCAATCTAGAATTGCTGATTTTATCTTCCCATGTGAACCATAACAATCTTCTGAGAAGTCTTCCCTCAAAACCTCTGAGCATTTTCTCTACCTTTCTGTCTGTTTTCGTAAGAGTCTGCTAAAAACGCATATTTTGTATATCCTGAGTTTGGTTTTAGTGCTGTAGATGTTTGATCTCCAGACACTCTCGTCTGTAGATCTCTGCAATTTCCTGTGAGGATTTTCGGGCCCCAGCTAGGGGAAAAATGGACAGAAGCACTGCCCCCCTGCAAAGGAGTGTATCTGCCAGCGGTCTTCACTCATGTTCCAAACGGGTTTTCCATGTATGTTATCACCCATGCACAGAGGGTGGGCTGATAAGTGCCAGAGGATTTCTAGGGGCCACAAACTCCAAGATCCCCTGCCAGTTCAGTAGGTCATCATCTGTAGCACACGATGGGGACGTGTGGCAGGAGTCTTGCATGAGGATTCATAAAACTAGCACTGCGCAAGCTGGCACCCGAGGTGAAGTACAGAACATCTCCTTATACAAAAGACAACAGTCTTAACTTTCCCTCACGCCTGTGGCCAATATCACTGCAACATGTTCATTGCATCAGACCAACTGAAAGGGAGGGAACTGATCAGTCAACAGCAAATGCTGATCTAACTACACATGGTGTTGTGGGACTGTGTGATGATGATGATGATGATGAGATAGTCGGGTTCTGTAAATGTCTCAGCAATGAGATATAGTCCAGTGAGATAGACAGCTAACCCAGATATTGATTATCTGCTCCTTAAGTTGCTAAAACTAATACTAACCTTGAAATATTTTACTCTAATGTCAAATCAGTACTGCTGCATAGAGTAGAAACACGCAGAACAAACTCAAACAATCACTAGTAAACTACAAACATACATTATCTGGTGGCTGCGCAGAAAAGAGAGAATTAAATGGAATGATAGACTCACTAATGCTGACCTTTGGGAAAGAACTAAACAAGTTCCAGTGGACCAAGAGGGGAAGAAAAGATGCTGGCATTGGACAGGACACACACTGAGAAAACCTCAGAACAATATAACAAGAAGGGCTTTAAACTGGAACCTGTAAGGGCATAGAATTAAAAGTAGAAGGGGGGAAAACACATGGAGAAGGGAGTCAGAGAGTGAGGTTAAAAAGATTAGGACAGCTGCATGTGATAGTTAAGGATAGGACGACTTGAGCTGAGTTGGTTGAGAGCCTATGCTCCATTGGGGGGGGGGGGGAAGGGGGTAAAGGACAGAACAATAAGAAGGTTCATGATGCAACCTCTTGCCTTTTATTAGAATAAAAATACAAGAAAAACAGAATCAAACTTGAAAAAAAAAAATAAACACACATACACACACAAACACACCTTCCTAACTTTTAGCGCAGAATATTGACTTGGCTGAGGTTTTGTGTCCGCCTCCTGTTCCTCAGTTTCTTTCTCACCCTAAAGACAAATGATCAGAGACACAAATGTTACATCAAAAAAGGAATAAAAAACAAAAATATGTGAATCACTGTCTTAAACATAACTGTTTTGTCTCCATAAAGCCCTCAGGTTTTCTTGTGGTGATTGAAGTTTAAACAATACAACATGATAATGAAGGTAATAATGAATGGCATAATCGGAAAATATGTATGAAAACAAAAATCAGCAATGAATTCAAGAAGCGACAAAATACAGAATCTAGAAAATCTTCTATAGCTGGTCACTTCACTCTCTACGGCAGTACGAAAATATAATAATACACACAGCACGTGAAGAACAAGAACAGAAACATAATGATTTGTAGCGGTGATAGATGCTCTTGCACACGTATGGAATTTGTTTGTAATAATCTCAAGTATGGAAATATACTTGGAAATTTGGTACGTACAGGGAAAAACCTCACTCATTCTAAACCAAGGAAATCATTAAGTTGGTAAGGGAAAGACTGAATCATTTTGATTCTGTGATAGCTGGGGTATTTCATGAACAAATGGGATATCTGTTATTTTATTCTTAACCTTTGGAAAATACAATTTGTTCATTCATTCATTCATTACTGTACACTTTCAAGGGCCAACTTGAATAAATTCAAATACAGTGGTATGCGAATTTGAACTGGCTCAAATTTTATATCAAATTAACTTTGCTGATGCAATGTTTTCTTATCGACAAATTATTATTCAAATTACATAAAGTTTCTTGGTTTAGAATGAGTTGCACAACAAATCTGGCACAAATCAAACAAAAACAACTACAAGTCACTGCTAGTCTCGGAGAAAAATCTGGATCTTCTGAGCCTGGTTTGAAGAGCCCAGCAAGGTTAAAAGGTCACTTCTGGTGATCTGTAAAACAAGAAAGTGGGAGGCTGTGGATGGGGCAAGAAATGAGTTAGCGTAAATAAAATGTTGTGTGGAAAACAGTGCCTGTTGTTGGCTGGGGTTGAGCCTCTGCTGCAGCTGTTTCTGATAGGCAGCCTCGATGGCAACCCACTCCTGGCGGGTCGGGTTGCAGATCCACACATCTGGTAAGAAAATGATGACAGTTTCCACCCGGGCGGGTTGCACCCGCTCCTTGTGCTTAGTCTCAGCTCGGAAGTAGCGGATCTCTGCAAAGCGGTACCTGCCGATACAGATATATAGCAGTGGAGTATGTGTATTCAGTGACAGGCACGTTGTGTGACGTTTAAAATCCAACAACAGACAGCCCAGACACAGCTGCAACAGCCTTATAAACAATCTAACTAAACAACCAAACAAAGTTCAGTCTGCACGCAGCCATGAACTCAAGCTGAAACGTTGCAATCCTAGTCTAGAATATTTATTCTCAAGTCCAAATCTTCTTCTTTCCTCTTTGTGTTCACCGGCTGTAAACCCTGGCTGAAAGTTCTGGTTGTTTGTCCACTTCTGGACTCTAGTCCTGTTCCAGAACCTGGGTGTTGCATGCACTTTCGTTTCACATCTCTGACTCATTTGCAGACAGACTGTTGGCTCCTTGCCTCTCAGGCAGACGTACTCCCACTTCGAAGGATGCTCCCAATTAGTCGACTCTTATAACATGCTTATTGGGCAGGCAGTGGGTCTATTCTTGTCACCCCCCCCCCCCCCCCACCACCCTGCCACAATGGGGCCCTGGAACCCACATGAGTAAAGCCCCAATCAGTGTATGCGATTTGATTTCTTCTTCCCTCTGAGTCTTAGCCATTGTGTAATATGTTCACAAATTTCTTACATTTGGTCAGAAGATGCTAAAGAAATCTGGCTCCCCCACTGGCCAATCCACCTTATATTTAACCCTGGAAAAGTTGAGTCCTGTTGATTTTTTAAAGCAGCTGTTTCTCCCCATTGAGAAATCTTCTAGACTGAACAAGCTCTTCTCCTTAGCATTCACCGGCTGTATAAAGTTCCAAAACTTGAGGTTTGCACATATGTTTTACAGATCCGACATTTCTATGCAGTCTGTTAGTTTCTCGCCTCTGGTAGATGCATTCCGACTCTGAAGGAAACAACCCTAATTAACTATCTTTTATGACATGCTTGTCAGCGGGTCAGTGGGTCTATTCTTATTCTCTCCAAAATGAAACCCTAGGAATCCACATGGAGAGGGATACATGTCAATATATGGTCAGCTGAATGCGTCAGCAAAGGATAAGACACAAGCTGTTTGAGGAGTGCTTTTACTAGATTAGAGGATGAGTGCAAAAGAAGAAGACATGTGGGATGTAAAACAAGAAGATACAGTCACCAATGAAGAACTGATAACCATATTAGGCACAGTGCTGGTGAATGCCAGTTGTGACCCTTTTTTGGGTTGAACAAGCCTTATTTAGGGTCGCCTAAGACTATTGGAAAACACACATTCATTGAAGTTATGAAGTTATGTTTTTCTTTTTTTAATAAACCTCATTTTGAAAGTTCTTTCTTTCATTACTATACTGGCCAGATACACAAATACAACAATAGTACTTAACAATCTATATGTGCTTGAACAAATTAAAGCAAGTAGGTTCTACCCCCACCAGGACATCACACAGAGCAACAAATACCCGGTGATGCAAAGTGCCACCATGCGGATGAGTATCACCCGTGGTGAGGTCCCGGAAACCCCGTTCAACTGTTAGGTTATATTAGGACCCCCTGCAAAAGGGAAGCTTCAAAATAACGAAAATTGCATCCCAAACGGGGACGACAAATATTGTCAACAAATTAAACATCTTTCAAAAGATAGTGTGAGCAGAATAAATAACAGCAGATATGGAAACAAATTTCATGCATATGATTGTACAAATGTTCTTATGGTGCATTACATCTGGATACTTCCTAATGAAGAACTGCCGTAGATATCTGAAAGTGCTGTAATCAAATGTAGCAATCAATGATCAATCACAACAAATGCAATAAGTAAAGTAGTAAGAAAGGTTAAAAGTAAAGTAATAAGAGAGGCAACAAGGAAAGCAACATATAAAGTGCTCAGAAAAGAAATAAGGAAGGTATTAGGTATAATAAGGAAGGTGATGAGAAAAATAAAATGGAAGGTTACAAGTAAAATAATAAGGTAAAGTACACTAATAAATAAATTAATAAAAAAAGTAAAAAGGAAGGTAAAGTAATAAGTAAAAAGTAATATGGATAGTAATAAGCTGAAAGTAATAAGGAAGGTAAAAGGTAATAAGGAAGGGAAAAGGTAATAATAAAGGTAAAGTAAAAAGTAATAAAGAAGGTGGAAAAAAGTCATAAGAAAGGTAATAAGTAAAAATTAAGAAGATGAAAAGTAATAAAGGAGGTAATAATTAGTAATAAGGAAGGTAAAGTTATAAGTAAAAAAAAAGGTAAAAAATGGCCCTCTCTAAGTTTCTCTGTCAATGCTGAGTGGGTAAATTTCTTGACTCCCCATGTGGGTTTGTATATATGTGTGTGTGTGTGGGGGGAGGGGGGATAAGAATAAACCCACTGCCTCCCCAACAAGCATGTCGCAGGAGTCGACCAACTGGAGACATCCTTCGAAGTCTGAGTACATCTGCCGGAGAGACAAGGAACCAAGAGTCTGCATACAAATAAGCCAGATCTGTGAAACAGATATGCATGCAGCTCTCAGGTTCTGGAAGAAGACTAAAGTCCGGAGGTGGATGAACACCCAGAGCTTTCCGCCGGAGTTTACAGCTGGTGAGCGCAAAGAAGCAGAATTTCTTGATTTTAGCTCGACTGTTGTTACTTTGTTTTCATTAATTAACTTCTCCATGTGCGTTCTGGGGCCCCAAATCATTGACCCCCCCCCCCCCCACCCCCCAACAAGCATGTAATGAAAGGGGTTTTCCATAAAAATGGAGTGCTTGAGAGGCAAGAAACCAACAGTCTGCTTACAAATAAGCAGACATCTGTCAAACGGAGGTGCATGCAAAACTCAAATTCTGGATCAAGGCTAAAGTCCAGAAGTGGACAGCAACCAGAACTTTTCTGCTGGAGTTTATACATAAATCGTTACGTCCTTCTTAGGACGTTATTTTTTGTTATTTGAAGCCCCACTCTGGCTTTTGCCAGGGGCCGCAATATAGGCAGGTCATTATTATGGCCAAATGTCTGAACGCGGTTTCTGGGACCTCTCCACGGTGATACTCATCCGCATGGTGGCACTTTGTGTCATCGGGTGTTTATCGCTTGTGTGATGTCCTGGTGGGGTAAAAAAGCCAAGCCAAGCCAAGCTGGAGTTTACAGCTGGTGAGCACAAAGAAGAAGCTCATTACACTACTGGAATGTTCAATCATGAAACATCATACAAAAAAGGTATGTAAACAACACAACACAAATAACAAATCAAGGTTCCCAACAGATGGCACAGAGAAGCAATACAACATACCACTGAGTACATGAACTGAGGTCGATCCCTGTCAAAGCTTTGGTGGTTCGAATGGCAGTCTTAATGAGAACATGCGGGTTGCTCTGTGGGTTCGGGCCATCTAGAGACGGAGACCAAGGGCCCCCAATGGCCATCGGCTCATTCTTGCCACGAGTTCCCACAAGGAACTGGAGAAGGCGAGTGGGATGCTGGAAGTTGTCCATGCAATCTGGCATGTCTTCGGCAAGGCAGCATGATTTCTTGTACAGTTCTTCCTCGGTAGGACTTGCCAGGAGCATCACCTGGTATACAGAACAACGTAAAGGATCTATTTACGTATCTTAACTCGTTTAATACAAATTTATTCTCAATACTTTTCATCTGTGAAATGCATCTATGTTTTTTGGATCTAGACAAGACATTTCTTCTTCTTCTTCTTCGCATTCACCAGCTGTAAACTCTGGCGGAAGGTTCTGGTTGCTCGTCCACTACTGAACTGCAGTCCTGCTCCAGAACCTGAGTGTTGCGTGTGCATCAGTTTTACAGATCTCATTCTCTTGAATATGGACTGTTGGTTCCTTGCCTCTCCGGCAGATGCACTCCGACTTCAAAGGAAGCTCGCCAATTAGTCGACTCTTACGACATGCTTTTGGAGAGGCAGTGGGTCTATTCTTGTTTTCCCCCACAATGGGGCCCCGGAACCCACACGGGGGGGAGGGGGGGGACATTACATTTGTTATGGTTCCCTGGAGCAAGCTCCGGGACTGCTTCGCAGGGGGGAAATTATTCCAGGGCCACGGATCAATGCAATGCAGAGTTTCTACAAAAGCTACACAATTTATGTAAGAATAGCAGACTAAATATCAGAAGAATTCATTTGACTAGGTGATATTTCCTCACCTTACCTATTCATTCTTATGATGGATGATGTCATTAAAACCTGTAAGGAGAAGACAAAGTACTCTGTAGGATACTGTAAGATGAAACCAATCTGTATATCAAAGCTGGCATTTGCAGACGATGTGGCCCTGATAGCTAAATCAGAAGAACATCTCCAATTCAACTTACTTTTCTGGAAAGAAGAGCTTGAGAAGAGAGGGATGACCATCAGTATCTCCAAAACTAAAACGATGGTGATCTCAAAAGAGGAGAAGAAATACCAGAAATGGCTGTTTACTGCTCTACCTATGTGCCAGTCCTGACATACGGGTGTGAGCACTGGCTAATGACAACAGCTCACAGAAGCCAGTTTCAGGCCTCAGAAATGAGATATCTGAGAAAAGGTGGTATAAGTGACATAAAGGGACAAAGTTTGCAGTCAGACAATACATCAAGATCTTGAATCCCATGCCTTACAAACTATTGGATCAGTCACAGTTACCCTGGCTGGACATGTATGCAGAACAGGAGAAAATTGGCAACCATGACTGGCACAGGAGGCTAAGAACCTAAGGAATCAGACCTCCAGTGTGACCCAGGGTCTGCTGGGAGAACAACATCCCACAGTCCCTGACTCACAGAGGACTGGAATAAAGCCAGAAAGAAAACTGCTGATAGAGAAGTCTGGCGATCTCTCTGGCAAACCTCTACACCCCAAGGTAGAAGAGGGGTAACTAAGTAAGTTACTTCTCTTCTTGTTCTTGTCCACTGGCTGTAAACTCCAGCAGAAAGTTCAGCATTCTAGATTTCTGTCTTGGTCCAGAATCTGAGAACTGCACGCACATCCATTTTACAAATCTGGCTTATTTATAGGCAGACTGTTGGTTCCTTGCCTCTCAGACAGATACACTCAAACTTCAAAGGAAAAAAACAAATAGTTGCCTTTAATGACATGCTTGTGGGGGTGGGGAGGGGAGGGGGGCAGGGTGTCTATTCCCTTCCCCCTACCCCCGATGGGAAAACTGTAATTCAGAAGGGCAGGCAAAGGAGGAAGAAAAGAAGAAAAAGTGGAAGAAGAAGGAGGAGGATGAGAAGAAGGATGATGTGTGGGAGGAGAAGCATACCTTAGCACTGAAGAGGTAGTCTGCATCTTCGGGCTCATATTCAACCTGCTCTTTCTTGACTGGGGGCACATCTTTGTGCATGATCTGAAAGCTGCAGGACTTGCCCAGGGTGAAAGGATGTGTCAGGGGAAAGTTCTCCACCCAGGAGAAGGAGGTGTGGAAGAAGTCGCTGGGGATGTACAGGTTGCCGTACTTGCTCTTCAGTGACATCACACAAGATTCCTGCCTGTGGTTGCCAACACAAAGATTTTGTCAATAGCAAATAATAACTAGGATAAAATACAGTGGTACCTGACTCAGTACCACATAATAGAGCACATGGACAAAATACATTAAGGAGACTTAACCAGACAGAAGATAACACATGTATACCTACTATGATCTATACAAATGAGGAAAAACTATCAGGATGATAAGGATAACAGGACTACAAAAGACCCAGAAAAGTTGGGGTGGACAATTTATCCCGTTTGGGACACAAAGTCATCAAACCTGACAAACATATCCTGATCTAAATCAATACACTTGGCACACATAAACCAGACCATAAATTTAACCAAATACTGATTGCACAGGTTAAACTTTTTATTAATTTTATTTTTAAATTGACACGGACATGGTACCTTGGAATTCAAACATAATCCATCCCAAGACAGCGATTGAATTCTGTATCGTTCAAGTTCCAAGTCAGTTTTTCCAGACAAAAAAATGTGGGATGTTGAATTAAGAATCGACATCATAGCATTCGGGACACTGCCAGACCATAAGCGCTCCGTCCCCCGTCTTCAGCAGCAAGCGAAGAGTTCCAATTCCAATGGCACCAGTAACTGTCTCTCCATTCTCCTCAGACCTAATGATCTATTTATGTCTCCTCCTCGTTCACTCGCTCCTAAAGGGCCTTTACAACATCTATCTTGTCATACATCAATTCACCACAAAGGGATGCAGAACTGTCGGGTCTATCTGCCTGCTCATTTCCCAACACACATGGCATGGCTGGAAAAATATCCAAAGGATGCTAACTAACCGGGACCTCTGAAGTGATGCTTGCCACTCTGCACGGAGCACCTCTGTCTCAACCTTTCTCAGCATGCTCTGTGAATTAGTTACAATTACATCATGTCTGCACAGCTGGTTCTCAAGCCAGCAGAAGGCAGAATTGACTGCCTCCACCTCCATTCTTAAACTAGACATTGTGATGTCATGTACCAGGCTGTGTTGCACCTATTAAAAATAATGACAATTAAATCCATCTGTTTCAGGGTTTTAAAATAACTCAAATTTCAACATTTATTTTCTTAAACACAAGGTAAATATAGAAACAAATTATGATCATATTTGAATAAAAACACAAATAAATTTTAAAAAGACATAAAAACAACCATTAAGATAAGAATAAACTCACAGGGAGCAAGTACAGCGGGGATCTACAGTCATCAGTAGAAATTATCCTCTGTCGACACACGTTTCGGCCCACGATTCCTAAACGTATTCGGAGGTGGGCCCACCTGAGTTCATAAAGCTCAGGGCTGCTTCCCCGCTGCACAGAATTACCGGATGGTGTTATTATTTCGGCCAGAGACAAGACGACTTAGTGGTTTCGAAGGAGGTACTGTGAGATAAGAAGCCGCCGCGACAGCGTAATTAAAACAGTCCGCATGCCTGGACGACCGAGCGACAAGCTTACTTTGGTTTCCCGGACACATGTTGAACTTTTATTAGCAGTTGGCAGAGGGACACTGGCAGACAATTCGTACACGATGGACTTTTCAAAGGGATGAGAAACTCTTTTCCACTAGATACCCGGACCAGCTCACCGAGGCCGGTCCCCTACGTTGTTGCGCTGCGTCCAAAGCCAGCTAGATGCCCTTTCGGCCACCTCTCCCAGTTTTTTGAGTGTTCGTTTCCGTTCATTACCGCGCAATCCTAGTTCTTTTACCACATTGTAGAGCGAAGTGGAAACGAGGCTTCTCGCTCCCACTTCGACGGCAAAAACCCGTACTGTGTAAGCCTCGTTTCTCCTCAAACCGGCTGCTAAATCACTGTACTTCTCGAGCTTGTACAAATGATTCTCCTCCATACGCGACTCAAACGGGACCGTCAGCTCAATCAGGATGAGCTGCCGTTTTTGCGCAGAATGGAGAACGATGTCCGGTCGCAGGCCGGTTTTACGGATCAACTCGGGATACCATAATTAATTCACTAAGTGTTTTACAGAAAACAATTTCTGCAAAAATCGTACAGGGTAATGAGACATCAGAGTTTTCCATAAGCTTCAACTGAGGGCACGGGGTTACATCATAAATCACCTCATGCATGTTTTTTTTTCCAGGTTCCTGGGAGATCTATTACATTTAATGCTTCACCCTATTCATGTTTACTGAATAAATGTTTTCATACATTTTTATATATTTTGAAAAAAAATTAATTAATTAAAATACAGATAACAAAAATTGTTTTTTCTTTTTATTTATTAGTACGTGTGTTTTCAAGTATTCCCAGGGTGAAAGGGTTCATTCTCTTGTACATGTAGGTTCTTCAATTTCTTCTGCCAAGCGATTTCTAGAGAAAGAATTTTCTAGCTATACTATTACCAAGGTTTTATTAAAAATGTCTGTTTGTGGAAAGAAAAGAGGGAATTGGCTAGCCACGTCCTCTAAAAAATGGCCGATTTCAAATAAAATAAGACAATAGAGATATTTACACATCCAAAAGAAGATTTCACATAAGACCAGATGACAAACACACTTATACATCCAACAGAAGATTTCAGATTAAAAAAAGATAACAAAGATACCTAGATAACAAAGATACCTACACATCAAAAGGAAGATTTCACATAAGAGCTGACGACAAAGACACTTACTCATCCAAAAGAAGCCTTCAAATAAGAGCAGAAGACAAACACACTTATGTATCCAAAAGAAGATTTCAAATAAGAGCAGACGACAGAGATACTTACACATCTAAAAGAATTTTAGGCACCTGCACCACATATCTAGGAGGCTGTGGGACAGCCTTACGCTTCGGAGGGCTGCGTAATCTCGGTGGTGGCGAGCGAGACCTCTTCAAGGGAGACCTGGAGTGTTTTGGTCTTTCTTCACGTCGTTCCCTGCGCTCCCTCTCCCTCTTCTCTCTTTCTTTTAGACTGCTATGAGCAGCCTGACCTCCCATAGATAAACTTCTCTGATCTTTTAAAGACCCTCTTGGCACCGGGTCGACTAGTAAACCAGGTCCTGTGTTGATGCCTGGACGGTTACTAGCAGTAAACATTCCTGTAGATACCAAATTGGCAACATGAAAAAAACTGTGCAATTCTAGTAAGAAAGATAATCTTACGGCCGTTAAACTTCTTTTGCTTCTTCTTAGTATTCACTGGCTTTAAACTCTGGCAATAAGTTCTAGCTGTTCATACACTTCTGGACTGTGGCCTTGTTCCCAAACTAGAGCTTTGCATGCAGACTGTTGGTTTCTCGATTCTCAGAATGAAGTTTTCCGACTTTAAAGAAAACATCCCTAACTAGTCACCCAGGTAAAACTGGTACCAGGTTCCTCTTCTTCTTTGTGTTTACCGACTGTAAACTCTGGCACAAAGTTCTGGTTATTTGTCCATTTCTGAACTTTGGTCTTATTCCAGAATTTGAGCTTTGCATGCACATCTATTTTACAGATCTGGCTTATCAGCAGACTGTTGGTTCCTCAACTCTCAGGCAGATGCACTCTGACTTCGAGGAAACACCCATAATTAGCCAACTTTTATGATATGCTTTCTAGGCAGGCAGTGGGTCTATTCCACATCCCCCCCCCCTTCCCCAAGGGGAGCCCACAACCCATACTGGGAGGTACCAGGCAATGTACTGAGACCCTTTTCATGCCTTTGGCACATACGCCAATCAGCACACGATGACCAATCTGGTCAAGATCTTTTTACTTCCCGGGACATTTCTTGCTACCCATTTTAGGCAAATGAGGTTGGAAAATGATCTGCCTCAATGCAGATTGAAACCCGAGACTTTTGGACCGGCAGATAAGCATCAGCCACTACACTAATGTGGCTCTCTGAAATACCACAGAAAGACTTCTTCTTCTTCACGTTCAGCAGCTGTTAACTCCAAAGAAAGTTCTGGTTGTTCGTCTACTTCTGGACTTGAGTCTCGTTCTAAAACAGTGGTTCTCAAACTTTCTCATGCCACGACCCTTCAGTACAGTTCCTCATGTTGTGCTGACCCCCCAACCATACCATTATTTTAGTTGCTACTTCATACCTTCAGTGAATATGTGTTTTGCGATGGTCTTGGGCCACCCTTGTGAAAGGGTAATTCGACTCCCAAAAGGGTCGCGACCCACAGGTTGAGAAGTGCTGTTCTAGAGCTTGAGTGTTGCATGCACAGATGTTTCTTCTGGCCCCAACCCCCCCAAAAAAAAAACTCACTCTCTCTCTCTCTCGCTCGCACGCACGCACGCACGCACGCACGCACACACACACACACACACACACACAATAGGACCCCAGAACCCACACGAGGAACAGCAAGACAAAATAAAGACAAACATTTGATGCTCTGAAAAACTGTTCCATGAATTTAAAAAATTATTCCATATTTGAACACTGATGCAATAACAAACATACAAAAAACACACTGAAAAAATATTGAAATAAACAGACATAAAACTGGGGTGCCTAGTTGGTCATGTGTCTTAGTACAGTTCTTCCTGTAGCAAAGCACTGTGCCATATATAATCATTGACAGGTTCGATTCTCAGCATGGTAACTATTGCTTTCTATCTGTATGATGCATAGTGTGTACTTCTATCTTTGAACTTCTTTCTATGAATGCCAATCAATAAATTTCCAATTGTTAAAATCTATAGTAAAGAGGGAAAAAAAAAAACAGAACAAAAAAAAGAAGGAAAAACAAAACTGAAAAAACCACACAATTAAAAAAATATTTAAAAAATAAAGAGAGGAGAGAAACAAATAAAGAAAAGAAACAAACTGACAAACAAAAGAAAATTAAAGAAAGAAAGAAAGAAAGAAAGAAAGAAAGAAAGAAAGAAAGAAAGAAAGAAAGAAAGAAAGAAAGAAAGAAAGAGAAAAAGAAAGAAAGAAAGAAAGAAAGAAAGAAAGAAAGAAAGAAAGAAAGAAAGAAAGAAAGAAAGAAAGAAAGAAAGAAAGAAAGAAAGAAAGGAAAAAAAAAGAAATAAAGAAAACCACAGCCACTCTCAAAACTAGAGAGAAAAACTGACAACATACCCCCGCTGGTAAACTTCCCCAGCCCAGACATGAGAGACTGAGACCCAGGTGGATTACTGAGGCCCTGCCCGCCAACTATATTTGATAAGCTGCCAATGATGCCAGGGCCAGAAAATATGCTGAGAGCTTGTTGCTGCATAGCCTTCAGCTGCTGCTGTTGCTGCTGCTGCTGCTGTTGCTGTTGGTTGAGGGTTATTATCTGGGTGCCTGCTACTGTTTCTGTCTATAAAAGAGAAGAAGAAACATGTTAGTAAAAGTACCGTATTTATACGTGAATAGGCTGCAGTATTTAAACTGAAAATCATTGACGTAACATAATATGTGGTGTATATTCAAGCTATTACATAACATAACCCTTGACCCGTTAGGGTCGTGGAGGTGTACTGATGGAAGCATGAGCACGTAAAGCCTGCCATCTTTCTCTGTCTTTCGCTTGATGAATAAGTTTGTGACAATTCAGTCCTGTCCATTTCTTGATGTTGTCATTCCAGATTTTTCTTTGCCCTCCTCTTTTTTGACCATCCCTCAATGTTTCTTGAAGCACAGTCATTGCAATCGAGTCATGTCTCACCACGTGCTCGAACCAAGCTAGCTTGCCACGTTTCACCACTGCCAAGAGAGGCTCCTGATGTCCTGCACATTTGTATATTTTGTCTCCACACATTTATTTGTTTTTGTTCTAAATAACTAATTCGCAAAATGCTGATTGTTGGGTGACATCATACATTTCAGTGGACAAACGGCTTGCTTAGTGGTGCCCATCTCCTCTACAAGTATCTGAATCTGTTTCTTCATGTTTATATTTTTCCTGCGTTGATCGACTATTTTCTTATAAATTTCCATCAAGGGTATGTCGTGTTTATGCCTTGGAGCCACGCACAATAAGTAGGTCACCACACTTGTTCGCCATTTTTCTTTGATGTAACACAATTCTACGTGATAAACCATCACTTCGTGAACTAAAACACTCTAGTTCATGAATGATTATTTATTAGCGACTGGTGGAAGTAATGTTAGTCTCCCCAGACGCCGCCCATATACAAACTAGCTCACTTTTGATTGGTATTTTCTGAGCCCCGTGACCTTTGCACAAGGTTAAGGGAATGTTCCACAATGCCGTTGGTATCGCATGTTGTATATTTCAGCACGCCAGTGCTTTTAACACTCCCAAAAAATACTGAGAATTCAGGACCGCACGGCTAGTGCTGAAGCCATGGACAGAACAGGTTAGGATGTCTGTTGTTGTTTGTTTGCGCTCACTGGCTATAAACCCCTGTAAAAAGACCTGCGTTGTTCGTCCATTACTGGACTCCGTATTTTTTCAAGAACCTGAGTTTTGCATGTGCCTCCATTTAACAGATCTTGGTTATTTGTATGCAGACTGTTGGTTTCTTGTCTCTCAGGCAGATGCACTCCGACTTTAAAGGTAGCCCCCCCAATTAGTCAACTCTTACGACAAGCTTGTTGGGGAGACAGTGGAAGTTAGGATGTCTTTTTTTGCTCCCAACAAAAAACTCCATTACCATATCAGTGGTTAAACCCAGGTCTCCCATATGAGTGGGAGAATGTTGTAACCATTCAGCCAGCCGTAACTGGTTTTAAATTCACTTGCATATAAAGCACTACTTGCTACTTAAATTCACAACTGTAACTTGATCGTACGCTGCTAATCTTTCACTGCTCACAGATACTACTGTTTATTTTCTTTCCTAAAATTATGATCTCCAAAACTAGGTGTGGCCTACCCATGTGTAAATATGGTCAGTCAAGGCAGCCAGAAGAGCTAGAAACAGAACCTTATATCTCCCTCGACACCCACAGCGGTAAAAGAGGAAGTGAAGAAGAAGAAGAAGAAGGACCCTTTTTATGCCAGCGGATCATCCCTGTTTCAATCAGCTATGTCAGGAATTCAGTTGTGAAAATTTTACATGTCATATAAATTAACCATTAACTCCCAAGTATTCAAATTAATTGTTTCAAATAAAGATTAGCTAATGCACAATTGAACATAGGAGGCAGGCAAATTCTTAGAAATGGACAGCAGTGTCCATCTGAATAAGCAAGGTAAGCACACCATTTTATGTGTAAATAATTTTCACATATGTATAATATCCTTGAATGTTGTGAGATATTAATAATTTTGTTTATTTAGTACTGACACTCAAATAGTTTAGATTTATTCTGCATTCATTTCTCATTAATTGATACATTTAAATCCCTACACAGCCAATACTTTTTCTTCACGAAGGGTTTAACTCTGTCATGTTGCTGTTAAAAAAATTCAGCTCAAATTTAATGCTGTCCAAACCCCAGAAAAAAATGTTGTCCTGAAAGAGTTAAAAGGTTAAAGGTTAAAGCTGAGGGGATCAACTTCATTGCACCCAATTTTATCCCATATGACTGGGTCTCTCTCAGCAGAATGACTAGCTGCTTGCCGAGAGCGTCGCGCAGAGCATGAGCTCCGTAACTCCCGTGGCAATCCCTAGGGATCTCCATTAAAATAGCACTCGTGAACTAAAGGCTGCAGCCATAGAATGAAACCATGCCCTTCAGTGCGTGAGGCAAAAGGCTTGACCACTTTGACACAGTTAGTTAGTTAGTTAGTTAGTTGGGTTATCCTCATTGCACTCCGGACATGTCCATAGGTGCTCAGATCCTCCCCTCAGTATGAACCCCAACGTCCGATGGCTAATAGTACCAGTTCTATGTTGATTAACAAGTCTTCTGGCGTAGCTGGTGTGCGTCTCGTTTTTTGCTGTGCCGATCTTAATTCCCAAGTCTGCCATTCTGGCGAGTGATGTGGATTCACTGCCACCAAAGTCCTCTATCCTTCCCATTTCTCTGAGGGCATTGATAATATCAGCATGATCCATAGGCTGACCGTCGGTAGTGATAGCGGATCCAGCCAACCTGTCAGCTCTTTCATTTCCATTGACGCCTGCGTGTCCCGGAACAAAGAGAGACCCTGAAAGAGTTGATGCAGATTAAACCCAAGACTTTTCAGATTAGTAGTCTAAAACCATTGCCGTTCCCAAAAAAGGATGTACCAATGATAAAATAGAATGGAAATTTACTTCCTCTCTTCTTCTTTTTACTTTAGTAATGTGATAGGGGAGATCTTCTTCTCTTTACTTTAGTAATGTGATCGGGGAGATCTTCTTCTCTTACTTTAGTAATGTGATCGGGGAGATCTTCTTCTCTTTACTTTAGTAATGTTTGTTTTTTTTTTTTTTTTTTTTTTTATCGATCACCGGCTGTGAATTCCAGTGGAAGGTCAGGTTAATCGTCCGCTTGGACTTTTGGCTTTCACCTGGACCTGATTTTTGCGTGTACAACCGTTTTTCATTTCCCTGCCTCATGGGCAGCTGTACTCCGACTTCAAAGGAAGACGTCAGGCCTATTTCTAGGTTGACTGTGGCCATTGTTTTGTGTGGGTCGAGACGTTGCCTGATTTGTGTGGTGTCCATTTTGTCTCCTCCGCAGGTGTTGCCCTCGGAGTACCCCTTTGGGGCAGCCCCCTGTGGAACAGTTAGCCCTCAAGAGAAGGCAGGGGCAGATCATGGGCATTCCCCGCCATCCAAGGAGGCTTCCATGCATGCAGAGCCGGCACATGGCGCTCTGGTTCTGGGCTCACCCAAGGAATCGTCACGTCCTGCACATGCCTGCTTAACCTCACAACCGTATCAGGCCTCCCGCTCGACAGGGGCTGCGCCCTCTGGAAGTCAGCGGGGAGCAGCCTGTGGGTTTTGGACTTTTGTGACCACACAGATAGGTACATTCTTTTTTCTTCGCACGTTTGATTTCTTTGACGAGCCGTTAGCCCGACAGAATTTTACATCCTGCATCAGGCATATCGTTATCAGTTTTGTCCCAACACTCGGGCGAGTGGGGTCTTTGGGTTTGGACATTCGGTCTTTTTCAGTTCAATACAAATTTTGATGGTCAGATTTTGATCCGTATGATCTAGTTTTGTCGGACAATTAGGATGGTTGCTGTTGTGGTGTACCTCAGCGCGGTGTCGACGACACTGAGGGTTAACCGAGGATGTACATGAATGGCCAGCCTATGGATGGTTGCTCTTGTGGTTTACCTCAGCGCGGTGACGACGACACTGAGGGTTAACCGAGGATGTACAAGGATGGCCAGCCTATGGATGGTTGCTGTTGTGGTGTACCTCAGCGCGGTGACGACGACACTGAGGGTTAACAGAAGATGTGCAGTGAACAATGTTCTCTTTACTCCGCAGTCTTTTAACCAAGGGTTGACTTTAGTAATGTGATCGGGGAGATCTTCTTCTCTTTACTTTAGTAATGTGATCGGGGAGATCTTCTCCTCTTTACTTTAGTAATGTGATCGGGGAGATCTTCTTCTCTTTACCTTAGTAATGTGATGGGGGAGATCTTCTTCTTCTTCTTTTTTGTGTTCACCAGCTTGTAAACTCTGGTAGAAAGATCTGGTTGTTCGCCCACTTCTGGACTTTGGTCTTGTTTCAGAACTAGTTTTGTGTGCACATCCACTTTACAGATCTAGCTTATTTGTATGAAGACTGTTGGTTCCTTGCCTCTCAGGAAGATACACTCCAACTTCGAAAGAAACATCCCTAATTAATATATTTTTTTACGACACGCTTGTTAGGGGGCAATGTGTCTCCTTGTTCTGTCTACTTGTTCTGTCTACTTGTTCTGTCTACTCGTTCTGTCTACTTGTTCTGTCTACTCCTTTAGTCTACTTGTTCTGTCTACTCGTTCAGATTACTTGTTCAGTCTACTCATTCTGTCTGTCTACTCGTTCTAGCCCTGGGGCCTTGGAATCCACATGGCGAACATTACTATGAGACTAATTAATATTGATTAATATTCTTATTAATATAAGAGAACGAGGGATCACTTGCACTCAAACTTTCCATCTACTTCAGGATAATGCTCCTTCTGACAAAGCTTGCATAGTGCAGGTAATAGCCAACCATATGAATACTGAAATTCTTCCTCACCTGCCATTTTCACCAGACGTGGCACCTTTACCTTTTTCTGATCCTAAACCTTTGAATGTTGTTGAATGATGAATTAAGAATTGACATCTTGACATCACAGCACTCAGGACACTCCCACAAGTGCTGCGTCCCCCATCTTTAGCAGCAAGCAAAGAGTTCCAATTCCGAAGGCACCAGTAACCATCTGATTGTATATCCGTCTCATCCTTCCCCAGATTGATGAGCGTCTGCTAGATCCCCTGGTAACTGCTCACAGCGCCACTCTCCTCAGACTGTAATTACCTGCCTGTGCCTCTGCACAGTTCACTCATTCCCAAAGGGCCCTCACAACATCTAGCTTGTCATACATCAAATAACCTCAAAGTGGCCCAGAACCAGCCAGTCTATCTGCCTGCTCATTTCCCACCAGCATGACCTGGAGAAAATATCCAAAGGAAGCTAACTACCCAGGACCTCTGAAGTGATGCTTGGCTCTCTGCACGAAACATGTCTGTCTTCACCTTTCTCAACATGCTCTGTGAGTCGGTAACAATCACGGCATGTGTATATAGCTGATTCTCAAGCAAGCGGAAGGCAGCAGAGACTGCCTCCGCTTCCATTCTCAAACTAAACATTGTGATATCATATACAAAGCTTTGCTGCACTAAGCGACGTCCATTCGCCTTCGCTATGAACCCCCATGTACTTCGTCTGAATCTCAACACATAGCCATTTGTGTATATAATCACATCACTTGGGCGGGAATTGTCATGAATCATGTATTGAACTTCTGATTCTGCAGCACCAGCTGGCCAGTCTCTGGACTCATGACCTAAAGTGATTAGAACCCTAGACGAGTCTAAAAATTGTTAAAACACCTTGACCCACTTCTCTCCTCGCTCAAAGTTATCAAGCCTGCATACATGTCCAATTGTCTTCAGCTTGCGCCATCCAAGACCTTCCTCTTTTCAGTCTGTGACCCTTAGCTCCGCCCAGGGCTTCATGCAGGAGGTGCTTTTTGTCCGCAGCTACTCTGAGATATGACTTTGCCTGCAGAAATTTGAGCCTATCTGCAATAGTAGGCAGTTCAAGTACATATCGCATACATACTACTGGGGTATCTCTTGTACATCCCAAAATGATTCGCATGATTTCATTCTGTATGTGTTCGAGTTTTATCAGCTGACTCTTTCTAAAACCTTTAAAAACAGATAACAGGAATTCAGTTGGCCAGTGATGAAGAAGTCATGCTGGCCTGTGATAACTGGTTTAGCTTGAAAAATAGGGTGTTCCATTCCCAGGGTTTTGTCACGGTCAAGCAGAGGTGGCAGAAATGTTTAAATTTGGGGGGGAGGGGGGTGGGGGGGGCAGATTTAGAGAAGAGGAATAAACACTACCTCCTTCTTCTTCTTCATGTTCGCCAGCAAAAAACTCTGGCGGAAAGTTCTGGTTGTTCGTCCACTTCTAGACTGCAGTCCTATTTCAGAACCTGAATGTTGCGTGTGCATCGGTTTGACAGATCTCATTTGCATGCAGACTGTTGGTTCCTTGCCTCTCAGGCAGATGCACTCCGACTTTGAAGGAAGCTCCCAATAAGTCGACTCTTACGACATGCTTTTGGGTAGGCAGTGGGTCTATTCTTGTTTTTCCCATAATAGGGCCCTGGAACCCACACGGGGAAACACTGTACCGAATTTCAGCTTTCTATGTGACTTCTTTCATAGTCAGGACATGGACTTATGGATCACCTCTCGTTTATTACACACTGCTGGTATGAGAAATTATATGGACTTTGGACAGATTAGTACAGGCAATAAGAGATATTTATTACACATCGCTGGCATGAAAAAGTAAATGGACTTTGGACAGATTAGTACTGGCAATAAGAGATATATATTACACATCACAGGCATAGAAAAGCAGATGCACTTTAGTCAGGTTAGTACAGGCAATAAGATCTTGTTAGGTGAATGTACTTACCAAAGAAACGACATTAGTGGCATTCCACTTGAAAGGCATATTGGCATTGTAGACCGCTTCCACCAGTACCCTGTCTCCAACTTTTGGGATGACCCCTTTGACACAACTGTAGACACACACATTTATGGAATATAGATAGCCCAGATGGCAGGTCATCTCCTTCTACACTAGCCCCTTAAAAGGGCAGCTGGCACACACAACCCCCCCCCCCCACCCCAAACCACCTGATAGGGACCAAGAACACCACTTGAGAGAACAGCAAAGTGAATAGTCTTCTTCTTCTTCTTCTGCCTTTCTAGCCCCCAATGCGGCATAGGCCCTCAACCAACTCACGCTAAGTCGTTCTATCCTTTCCTATCGCATGCAATTCTCCCCATGTCCTCCCCATCTTTATAACTTCATTCTCCAGCTCCCTTCTCCATGTGTTTTTGGCCTTCCTTAATAAAGTGAATAGTTCAGCACAGGAATCAAGACTTAATCCCTAGATAGGCATGTTTGTTTTTTTAACTGTTCCACAGTGGCTGCTGGGGAGACCTAGTATCTAACGGCTCTCCTGCATAAATCCATACTGCGGCGGATTGTTAAAAGATGTATGGTAGTGTAGCCGCTAGATATTCACTTGCTGGCCTGATGGTCCTAGGTTCAAATCTAATTTTTTTGTCTTTCAATACTGACCTTGGCTCCCAGCCTAAAATGATACCAGAAAATATCCTGGAAAGTAAAGGCAGCAGGCGTAATGATGACCACATTCCCCACCAAGTGCTATTTCATATATGACATATATGAGCTTAACATCATTTGCTCGACAGACCACTGCCATTAAAAATGAAAATGTCATTTACTTTTACAATTTTTTTTAAGATGTGTTGCTCTTAGCTCAGTCTCACAAAATGACTACCAAACACTAAACCTTCTCCCCCTGTGGGTTCGGAGCCCTACTGGGCGAGGGCGAGGGAGAGAATGGAACACACCCCCCCCCCCTACAAGCAAGTCGTAAAAGATCACTAATCAGGGGTGTTTACAAAGTCAGCGTGCATCTGCCCATGAGGCAAAGAACCAACAGTTTGCATCAAATAAGCCAGATCTATACAATAGAAGTAGATGCAAAACCTAACGTTCTGCAAAAAGACAGAAGAGGATGAACAATCAGCAATCATAACTTTCCCATGAGGTGTACAGCCTGTGAACGTTCAGAATGAAGAAAACTAAAACCTCTGTCTTTTTTTCCCCCATCATCTACCTTTAATCTGCCAATACAGCATAAGCTTTCATTCAACACACACAAGCTTTTTGCAAACTTGCTCCTGACTGGTTGGATTTTGCAGCTGTTTTCTGCAACACCAGCTCCCAATTAACAAAGACTGTGGAGTCCTCTCATTTAAAAAAAACCTGCCATGGCTAACGATCACTTTAACTCTTTGAAGACTGATCACCAGATCGCTTTAGAATTTATCTCGATCCTACAATTCACAAGTACACTGGCAAATTATAAGGACACTTTAATTTTGTTCCATTTGCGGGGAAAAACGAGCTTTCATGAAAACGTTTTGAAAAACTAGGATTAGCAAAAGGAATTCCTTTTGTCTGTGATGTTCCGCATGGCTTTTGCATGACTGATTTTTAAAAAATTAGAAGTAATACAATTTTTACGTGATTTTTTTATACAAAATGATAAGGGAAAAAGTCTAGAACTGTTTATACTGCTATGTCATTGATGAATCTCTGCCAGATGGTGACAATAGTCTTGATATTGTGACTGATATCTAAGTGACAAACCTATTGGTGATAATTAAGTTTAGGATATTAAAATTGAACAAAATATTTCAATTGTATCATCTGTTTTGATCAGCTGTTTTCCCGATTTTCAGTTGTTGTGAAATCTGACATGTCATACAAAAATGATCATATCATCCAACGTATTTAAATTTACTGTTTCAAAAAAAAGACTCGCTGATACATAATTGAACAGAGAAGACATGTGAATTCATAAAATTAGATAGCAGTGTTGTTGAACAAGTAAAAAAGTAAGGTAAGCACACAATTTTGTATGTAAATAATCTTCATATGTCTAACATCCTTGAATGTTATGTGATTTTAATAATATTTTGTCGAGATACTGACACTTAAATAGTTTAGATTTATTCTGCACTCATTTATCTTTAATTTGATATATTATTTGTCCTGATACATCCAATACTTTTTTTTCAGGAAAGTTTTAGCTTTTTTATGTTGCAGAACAAAAAAATTCTGCTCAAAATTAATGCTGTCCAAACTCCAGACAAAAATGTGGTCCTGAAAGAGTTAATGGCAAACATGGAATAAGAATAAATTACCAAAAAGCGCCACTTTTGATGTATCAAAATATCAACATGCACACAAAAAGCAGCTGATAAACTTTGTGCTATCAGTGCCAGACATTGACCGTCCTAAAATTTACATGTGAGATGAGATGTATAAGAAATGCAGCAGGAAAAACAAGAACTAATAATAATGTTAGGGGCATTACCGGTAAATTATTTCACAGAACATCAATAAATCTTCTTCTTCTCCTTCGCGTTCACCAGCTGTAAACTCCAGCGGAAAGTTCTGGTTGCTCGTCCACATCTTGACTGCAGTCCTGTTCCAGAACCTGAGTGTTGCATGTGCATCCATTTTACAGATCTGACTCATTTGAATGCAGACTGCTGGTTCCTTGCCTCTCAGGCAGATGTACTCTGACTTCGAAGGAATCAATGAATCAAATGGTTTAGTTATGTGGTCAGAATGGAACAAAATCAGACAGCAGCTAGAGCGAACTGCATGAGAACAGTTGCCTAAACATCAAGAGGCTGAACAAGAAAGAGATGGGTGTAGTGAGTAAAACATAACTACACAGAATTGCATATATGATATTAACACAAGCTACAAAACTAGCAAAAGATAGAAAACTATATCTGACTCCTCTCTGTGACTATTTAGGGCATAAGCAAGAGGACAATAGAATACAGAAGAAGAAGAAGAAGTAAGCAGTAAGCAACAGTACAACCAGTATCCACTGACCTGCTCTGAAAGAAGACCTCCTCATCTACAAAACCAAAATTCTCATGCAGTTTGGTGACAATTCCAGTGAAGATCCTCTGCTTCTGGTTGGTAATGGCTGCCGTAGCATTCTGTGGCTTCAGTGGATAGCTTAAACTTCCCACCTAAAACAGTGATCACAATGAATTATGGTCTAGAACTGGGTTGTTGTTCTTCTTCACACTCACCGGCTGTAAACTCCAGCAAAAAGTTCTGGTTGTCCGTCAACTTCTGGACTATAGTCCTGTTCCAGTACCTGAGTGTTGCAGGCACATCCTTTTCCACAGGTCTGACTCATCTGTAGGCAGTCTGTTGGCTCCTTACCTCTCAGGCAGGTGCATTCTAACTTTGAAGGAAGCTCCCAATTAGTCGACTCTTACAACATGCATCTGGGTAGGCAGTGGGTCTATTCTTGTTTTCCCCATAATGCAGTGACTCTCAACCTTCCTAATGCTGCGACCCTTTAATATAGTTCCCACGTGTTGTGGCGACTCCCAAACAACTATTTTCCTTCATAACTTCGATGAATATGTGTTTTCTGGTGGTCTTGGGCGACCCCTATGAAAGGCTTGTTCGACCAGTAAAAGAGTTGCGACCAGCAGGTTGAGAACCGCTGGTCTATGCTATTAAAAACTCTATTTCTTAATGCAGGGGTGTTTGCTTGTCACTGTCTCTATAAAATAGGGCTGCGACCTGAAAAGGTTTAAGAACTATTGACCTAGAATTTGTGAAGACCTCATTCTTCAACATTCGCTAGCAGTGTCTGCTATGTGACCCTCTTTTCCTTTTATCATTAAAACAAAAAAGTAACATTCTATATAAATCAAGCAAATATAGAGAAGAGAGTTTCATGGCGAAGCTGTCAAGCTGTCTGCCTCATGCTTGGAAGCTTGTGTCTTTATTTTCATGTGCCGTGTCTTTTGGTTCGGTGCAGCTTTTATGAGAATCTCTAGGAATTGTCATTTTGTGCAATGCTCTTGGCATGCGACCCAGGATGAACAATTTTTATTTTAAAGGGATTAAGAATTGGGCGCACAGGCTTGTCTTACATTCTGCCCTCCTGGCCTCACATACATTATTCCATTCATACATCATTTAGCAAATGATAATTATAACGACAAAGGGAGTGTTAGTGCAGTCAATAGGAGACTCGCTTTCAAATCTAGCTGCGACTCCCTGCAGTCTACGGCCGGTGTTAGAAACTGGGCGGTTTCCAGGGTTTACCCAGCCTCTAGGTAATGAGTACCTGAGTTAACACTCCGGGGTAAATGGAGGATCGTCACTGTAGCTATAGAGTTTCATGCGGATGGCAACACAGGCGGACAGTTTCTTATCAGCTGTCTGTACTGGTGGCAGAGCATTTATGGTTTATAATTATGTGCATTAAGGCTGGTTCCCATCTCCCGACTTTACTTTTAATAACAAAGATCATCTGCCCCCCAAAAAAAACAACTGCCAACAATTTTTTTTATGGCCTCACTCTCAGCACAAATTATTCCATTCATACATCATTTTAGCAGATAATAATAACAAACATTATCTGCCAAAAAACAACTCCTCTCAACTTTTAACAAGTCTATCATTTTCTCATTACCTGGCCACTGGTTCCGGTCAGCGTGGTCGGAAGTGCCATTCCGGCCGGAGTCAGCATAGTAGCTTGTGAAGGCTGTAAATTTGATTAAATATTTAGAAGAAAAAAAGTCAGTGAAGTTCATACTAGAGATAACATTGCAGTTATAGATGATCTATTTCAAGCCAAATAAACAGCATCCTTTCTCGAAAGCTGAAATATTTTGGTCATATCAAGCACCACGACGGATTGGAAAAAATTATAGCAGAAGGCATGGTACCAGGAAGGAGGGGCAGGGGCCGACCCACACAAAGATAGGCACAGGATATAAGTGACTCCTTGAGTGTGAAAGTTCATGAGGCGGGAGAACTGGCAAGAGACCGAGTTTCTTACAGGCAGACTGTGATGAGAGCGACGTTCTGCAAAGGACCTGCTACATGATGATGATTTCAAGCCAACGAAAGAAGAGGAAGAAGAAGATTAAATATTTATGAAAATGGAATATTATCTGTTAATGCAGTTACTGGTGAGTAATGTAACTTATTTTGCATGCGCATCCATTTATAGATCTAGCTTATTTGTAAGCAGACTGTTGGTTCCTTGCCTCTAAGGCAGATGTACTCCGACTTTGAAGGAAGTTTCAATTAGCCAACTCTTACAACATGCTTTTGGGCACGCAGTGGGTCTATGTTTTCCCACAATGAGGCACAGCAACCTACACGGGGTAAAGGCTGGGGGAGGGGGGGGGGGGGGGGGGGGGGACTGATATTAAATCATATCAATTCAATAAATGTGAGAAAATAAGATACATGTCTGGACTGATATTAACAGTTATCAGACAGTTATCCTTCACTGTGAAAGACGGGATTTTATCGCGAGAAAACGCCTACAAAAGATGTTGCCCGTCTAAGCTGCAGGCAAATCTCTTGGTCTAGGGCAGAGTCTGAGCAGTTTAGTTTTTCTTTCACTCGACAGACTTTTAATCAAGAGTTGCCATTTAGTGGTACATTTGGCAAGTGGACTTTCCTCATGTTCCAAATGAGTTTTTGATAAGACGTTTTCACCCATGCACTGGGG